CATGAACTTTACTGTACAAATCTTCAAATAATTTTCATACTACCGGTACTCATTATTGTGCAATGATCGATTTTAGTTTACATAATACAATTTAAAATCAACATTTTTATTTGTAATAAAGTGTTAGGATACTGTGTACAGTAGTGTAATAGTGTGTCAAATGGGGTTGCGAGATCCGTTTTAATACATTCAGTGCCTAATTAATATTCATGAATAAATTAGTGAACCTGTATAGAAAGGCCACCTGTCTATAAAGGCCAAAATTTCAAAGTCCCTTGGGTGGCCGCTATAGACAGGTTTGACTGTATATACCAATCATTTACAAGACAAGGGTGTGCAACTGGAGTGATATGCGATTCAGACCCAAATTTGAAGTCACATAGATTTTCATAACTTTAGTTTTTACTGATTCAAACTAATTAATTCTATTAATAATTCATTAATGGGACCAGAAATAATTATAAAAACACATAGAATTAAACTAGTTTGGAAAATTATGTTATGGAAAATCTTTATCACCATTACATTTCTGTATCTCACAACAGCGCCACCACCCAATTATTACAGAATGTTATATCTCACCTCCCAAGAATAGTATGGATCACAGTGATCTTGTATTTTCTTCTTTTCACCTCCATACGGTCCATAGAGTGTACCTTCCTTAATAAGCGTCTTTGTCCATACACCTACAGTCATACAATTTACATATCTCTGAGCAGCGTTCTCCAAGACATTATACAGTAGCTCCCCCCCACCCTTTTTTGATAATAACAAAGTCAATGATCACAACAATGAACACAATAGATGATTAACATATTCCATATAGTTACGTTAATTGGTCATGACACAATGAACAGCGAGGCAACTGAATAGCAGGGGTTTTTCTAGAAAAAAATGCAAGAGGGAACACTGCAATTCAGCGGCGCCACCAAGTGGAGGAGATAGGGTTCTACCAGGGTGTGAAGTTAAAATGGAACATTTTATGGCTTCCTTGGGACCAAAATTACTATCAGACAGGTCATAGTTGAAGACTGGCCACATGTGACCCCTGGTCATTCAGAATTTTATGGTTTCAAGAGGATCTGCTCCCCAGAGCAAGTGGCAGCATGGCCATGGCATGAGGGCGCTGTGCCCCTGTTCCCTCATTTAAAAAAATTACTGCAATAGTGTGTTGTTATAACAATGTAGTAAAATATCAACTGAGTTGTAATTTTTATTATTTACTGTTAAATATTGTATGGAATATCACAATTTTATTCCAAGAAAGTCATAGTACACTCACCTATTTTGTTATCTTCAACAATAGATGGCTTGAATTCAAACGCTACAGGTATTTTCATGTCTGGTACCTCCTCCATTGTATCTTCTGCAATCTCTGAATTTTCCATTCCTTATTAACAAGAAATTAACAATTATTTTTAGGTAAAACCCAGATGACTCATTTCTTCATAGCTCATTTTAGACAGGAACTTCCTCCTGAAATGTTGTCATTTTATTCTTCATTTTGCACAAAATCTGCACACTTAATTACAGAGTATGATATAAAATCACAGATATTGTATACTACTTTACTTAGGAGTGATGAATGAGTGAAAATACATTTCCTATATTTTACATTCTACAAAAGTTAGAGAAAAATAAACTCCACACAAAACTTACACAGTGTATCCACTTTGGCGCTAGATAGATTTAACAATCAACAGAAAATAACTTGACCATAACTTGATGGGGGCTGTTTACAAGAGAACTGAAGAAAATGATCTGCAGTGTTTAGGGTTCATTATGAATCCAACATAGCCCTTTAACAGACTACTTAGTGAGGCTTACCTGAGAAAGAAGTCACACTTCACTTGGATACACAGAAATATTACTTCAACACAGTTCAGTTAGCCATCCATTACAACCTATTAAAATAGAAATTGAAATAGATCAATAAGAGAGTATGTTGACATTTTCATTGATAGATCTTTAAATAGGCTGGGTTAGAGTATCAAACATTATAATTATCTTAGTACATTATACAATATTTTCTCTGGTTCACAGCCAGAATATGCTGCAATAATTATAAATTACTATTATACATCTGTCACCGTAACGCCGTAAGTTACAGCGTGCCATAATTTTGTGGTATTTTACAGGGTATTTTCATCTTACCATATTAGGAAATGCAATTTCCAAATATGGAATCATTACACGTGTAAGCGTCCTCTAATAATAAAAACAAACATGCCACCAGGGTTTGACCGGACTCCACACAAAGAAGTTCGCTGAATCTGTTCTAAACTTTTTAGATTTCAGCATTCATTTGATGTATCATTGGAAGGAAAAGATGTATAATAAAAAGGTTATTACGAGGATACCGCAAAGTATGCACTCAAGACAATAGGCCGTCGTATCGGCTTCTGCTGCACATTGGTCGATACTTCTGCTGTACTGTCTTTGTGCATACTTTTCAGTATCCTTGTAATAACATTATATTACTGTAAAACCCAGACTTCTATTACAATGGTACAATGCAATAGAGGGAATGCAGCCTCTATTAGACCATCTACATATATGAGAATAGTTGAATTTTTGGTTCTTAATTGTTCAAAAAGAATTGATGCAGCCTCTATTTGGGAGGTGGCATCTAATTCAGATTTTACAAGTGTGAAGATGACAAGTAAGTCTATTAATCTTGCATGTCAGAAATGCAGCAGCTGCACACTTTTAGAAAACATTTGATTTTTCGTCACTTGCAAAATAGGAATGAATTTTACAGGCCTAAAACAAAAGCTTGGAAACAGCTTAGTTTTAACATCACCACTACACTAATTCAAGCAGGGAAAACTCACAATACCATAATGATTCCACCAAAGTATTTTTTTTGGAGGTGGATGATGATGGATGGATGTGGTATATGAATGTAGTGGCCTTTTCGTGCAGAGTACTTGAGCTGCTAGTGGAAAATACCAATTTATTGTTTTAGAAAAAAATCAGGTTGCCTAACTGATAGTGGTTCAATTGATAGAAGATTATGGCTGTCACTATTTAGCAACACTTAGGTTTTTGACCTTTACTGTAATTACTCCACTCTCTAAGTGTCTCTTAAATAGAATTACAATAAATTGCATTTGTAATGTACACTGAATCATTGAAATACTATTATATTTTAACCATAAAAACACCACTGTGATTTGCATAACCATATGCATTGTACACTATTAATAATAGAGGAAATATGGTACATTGGACAGAATAAGTAAAATTTTCACAGAATCTGTTCACTACAGATTTATTTTATCATCTAACATCTATTGCAATAGATGATCATGGATACAATGCACAAAAACAGACAAAAAAACTAGGCTAAAAACAAACAAAAAATAGATCAGGTGACATTTATATATAGAAGGTGTTTCTTGCTGTCTGAATTCAAAGACAAAAATTGGCCTGAAGGGACTGGCATGGATTTATTGCAGAATTGATCATCATATTTGATTTAAATTTAAATACATGTATGGTCCTATTTTAACTGATATTCATATCAATCACCCAACAAACATTGAAAACCTAAACAAGCAGCCTGTCGGCTGAGATAGCTCCGCTGTTAGCAATGCACATTACAATTAAAGAACAAAAGATATCATTAGAAAATGAACAATATGTATAGTATCAAAGCAATGGGACTTGCTGTTTCCAACAAGAAGTCAAAAATATCACTTTTCACCCAAAATGACAAAAATAATCATCAAAATTAAATAATTGAAGATGTCACCATGAAATTACAAATCTGAAAGAGGTCCACATGTAGTACCTATATATGTAATATAAAAGCAATCGGACTTGCGGTTTTCAACAAGTCGAAAATATCACTTTTTAACAAAAATAACAAAAATATTCACTTAAATTAGAGAATTGAAGATATCAACATGAAATGAACAAACCTAAGAGAGGTCTACCCAAGATACATATACACCAAGTATTAAAAGCATTCAGGCTAGTAGTTTTCAAGAAGAAGTCGAAAAAGTAAAACATTGACAGGGACGACGACGACGGATGACGACAACGGACAATCACTCATATGATGAGCTCCGCTCGACAAAGTCAACAGCTGAGCTTAAAGTTAATGTTAGACTTCAAACTCAAATAATCTGTTTTGTTTTAGGTAAACTTTAGAACAGTTTAAACATTTTACATGTAGTGGATGAACCTACACTATAATGTAAATGCATTAATTATTCACTGGGTTTCGCTGATAAGTAAAATACGCTAAATTAAATCTACATGAACATTTAAAATAACAATAAAACTCATTGTTTCTTTGACAAATTGGTGAAATAAAAACACAGTGAATATCCTCAAAACATAAAAAAATAGTGAAAATAAATGGTTTTACAGTACCAAGGATGACTATACATGTAAACATTGGTATGTAAACAAGACTATTGGACACCTCAGCAGAGACAAGATCATCAACATCACAGCAAACTACAGTTCAGTCGTAGGATAACTACTCTCCAGCTGGCTATAAGCTGTCTTTGCTTTTTTCCCATAAAAACTTATAAACAAATCTACAAAAAAAGATTTGTTTTGGGAAACCTAGACAATTTTGAGCCCCTTTGAACTGAATAGTTCCAAAAATGTCCATGTTTGCTATTTCAGACAAATGAAGCAAATGTGTCATATTCAATAATTCTGAAACATTTTCAAAACCAAAAATTGTCATAATTTTATTACCTTTATTAGGTTAAAATCTTGCAAAAGATGTAGACTGTCGAAGTAGAAGACATATTGAAAGAATAATGTCAAATGAAGTTTTTCTCGTTTCAAAGATAATATGCATTAAAGCATTCATCTAGATGTATGTGTCTACTGTACTGCCAGACCTTTTGTTCATGGTGACATACTCTAAGAGCAAAGTAAGACTGAAACCTGTTCTTATACAAACATATAAAACTCAGACAATGATATCAAGTAATTGTATTTACAGTCAGGGCATTGCAGCTTTTCTCTGACAAATGCTTCATTTACCAGTTACTGCATTGGATTTTCACCGACTTACTCCTCAGCCAACATAGCCAAAATAAATCAAAATAGTAGTATTTCGTATAGATTACAAAATTAGTTCAGCCAAACGAGTTTTATACAGTACTCTGGGTAAGAGTGGTGTTGGGGAAATTGTTATACTGTAGAAGAACATTTAATTTTAGTGGATTCATGGTTGCAGGAACATCTATGAAGTGTTATTTCACTGGTTTGTGGAAAAATCAATATATTCTATAACTTCACAATATACCAATAATAGATATACAACTACAAAAGATCAAGAAAACGTATCCATTTTACAGATAATAATAAACTGCATTACTGAGAAGAAAATCACTGTTATATGGTAGACCCCATAACAATATTTAAATTATGTCTATATTATATAACAATCATGGGACAAAAACAGAATTGTCATATAAGTATAATTTACTATAGACATACAGTGGTATACATTGTAGATATCTGGGAGGTCATTGACATTTGAGGCATTCCTTTATTTGCACTATCTTTTGGGACAAAGTACAATTATATGTACGCTACATGAAGGGTGTTGTATTTGTTATTATTAGCATATTTGTCACCGAACATTACAGCGCGCCGTAATTTTGCATTTTTTACGGGGTATTTTAATCCTACCATATAAGGAAATGCAAATTCCAAATATGGAATGATTATGCACGCAAGTGTCCTCTAATAATAAAAACAAACATGGCTGCCACAAGCGTTTGACCAGAGACTCCACACAAAGAAGTTGGTTGATTCTGTTCTAAACTTTTTGGATTTTGGCATTCCCATGATGAATCCTTAGAAGAAAAAGATGTATAATTATATAATAAAGTTATTATGAAGAAGATACCTCAAAGTATGCACTCAGATAGTACGCTGTCACATCGACCTTCGCTGTTTTCGTTCATACTTCCTCATAATAACCTTATATTATTAGCATATCTCTGGATGGATGGATCATTTAAAATGCGATTTTCTTTGAGTATAGACACACATGTCATTTACATTCAGTAAATACAGGTTTGAACATATTTACAATTTTACACAGGTGAAATTGATTTTTCTACTAATTTTCATTCAAGGTGCATCTAATTAAGTGTCATCAAGTACCTGAATAAAATTAGTTCAGCCAAAAGAGTTTTATTCAGTACTTTGGGTGGGAGTGGGGGGGGAGGGGGGGGAGGGATTGTGATAATACAGTAAGAGAAATATTCACAGGATTTAATTTTAGTGGATTCGATCATTCTAAGGTCTATGATTCGATGTTGCAGGGACATCTACAAAGTGTTATTTTCACTGGTTTGTGGAAAAATCTATATATTCTATAACTTCACACTCACTGTGTTTGGCTGTTAGTGAACTAACCAAAAAATAAAACTACAGCTAATAACAGATGACCTATTAATCAAATCAAATTAAGCCTGGAATACCCCAAAATAGTTTAGCATTTGTTAAGTCCCATGCAATGTTTTGACCCCAATGCGATGGTATAAACTTCTTTTAGCTTGGGATCCCTGAGTGAACATAAAATGGTCTATATATCAACACTTTCATAGTACACATATAGGAAAACAATTAAATTCACAGGTAAGGCATAATATAAATGTCATCAACCTGTTTTCAAAATCATGTATAATAACAGAGGTACATTACTTTAGGTTTGCCACTCGCATAGTACTGTATGATGACATCATGCCAAGATCCCATTCAAGTCTCATCTCGTAGATAGCGAGACTGATGCTACGACCTTCAAACATGAAATAGCCGGTTTGTAATAATCAATAAAACATGTATTAACACATTCATAGTGAAACAATGTAATACATCGAAAATGTACAGAAAATATAGTTCTCGTAATCCGTCATAT